CTGGGTTTTTCCCCCACAGTGAGGCCCCAGAAGCCACACGGGAGCCAGCGTGAACTGTTACATGGTCCCCCAAGCTAGGAAAAACATGGCTGTCAGCAGCAGCCATCCCGGCATGCAATGATACAGATGATGTTTGATGCCTGCAGCAATTAACCTTAAGTGCTCGGAATACAGGAGGAGGAGGAGGGGGGGGGGGAAAGAAGAAGAAGAAGAAGAAGAGAAGAAGAAAAAAATTGTGTGTTTAATTAAGAGTATACATCATAGCACCCAGGACACTCCCATAAGCGCTCCGTTTTCATCTTCAGCAGCAAGCGAAAAGTTCCAGTTCCGATGGTACCAGTAACTGTCTGATTCTGCATTCATCTCGCCGTGGGTGTTGAGCGTTGGTCAGATCCCCTGGTAGCTTCCCGCAGCGTCATTCTCCACACACCTCAGAAGAAGAAGAAGAAGAAGAAGAAGAAGAAGAAGAAGAAAAAGAAGAAGAAGAAGAAGAAGAAGAAGAAGAAGAAGAAGAAGAAGAAGAAGAAGAAGAAGAAGAAGAAGAAGAAGAAGAAGAAGAAGAAGAAGAAGAAGAAGAAGATAAAGAAGAAAAAGAAGAAGAAGAAAAATAAGAAGAAGAAAAATAAGAAGAAGATAAAGAAGAAAAAGAAGAAGAAGAAGAAGAAGAAAAATAAGAAGAAGAAGAAGAAGAAGAAGAAGAAGAAGAAGAAGAAGAAGAAGAAGAAGAAGAAGAAGAAAACGAAGAAGAAAACGAAATAGAAGAAAAAGAAGAAGAAGCAGAAGAAGAAGCTAGCTGCTGGCTGACGTAATTCCATTCTGATGAGATCGCCAAACATTCTCTAACTTCATGATATTTATATTTTTCACGAAACAATGGATTGGCTTGTTGTGTCTGTTCAGGAGGTGGGGGTGGGGGGAGTTGCCTTCTTGCAGTCTACATGCTGGCTGACTCATGGTTTTACCCACTACTTCCAAAGACACATGAAGTACTCAGGTTCAGCCAGACCCAGTCCTTCTTCACATGGGCTTGGGACTATCTTAGCATAGTACTGATGACCAGGACCGTCTGGTTATTTTAAGATTAAGATGCAAGTCTTTGAAATGCCGCCCCTTTGAATGTGTTTTCTTTAAAATAACATGTTGCTTGTGCCGTCCCCCTTACAGTGCCGCCTGATGCGGTCGCTTTGCTGTACCATAGTACAACACGGCCATGATGATGATCAAGGTGTTGGTGATAATGATGAAGAAAATGGTTGTCCTGAATTAGTAATTCTTTTAATTTAGTTACCCAGGTAATTTCGGACTCATACCGCGTTGTCTGGTATTGATTACCCCAACCTTTGTGCGGCTTGAGATACGGGATTGCCTCTCACAAAGAACTGCGCCCGCAGAAAACCTCGACTCAGCGGTAAGTGGTATCTAAATTGCTTGTCTCAGTGTGACTAATGACAAAACAACGAAGCCCGCCCGCAAGTAAACGGACCGCGCACCCCTCTAGACCATGGCATGGCTCACTCTCTCCAGTCTGAGAATGTTATCTGGGAATCTTTCAGTACAAAGTTCATGGAGGAAATCGGCTGACGGCAGTTCTGCTGGTCTGGTGGACGACTTACCTGTCTTCAATTAATTAGGTGCCGTCTCCGTAATGAAGCTCGACTGCAGTCGATCTCCAAGTACACTTTTAGATTACTGCACGTCCTTTAATTGTTATTTTTTTCCCCCATTTGCATCGCTGTCTATCTCTTAATTTATTATTAAGTAAAGATTCCTCCCACATCATAAACGTATTAGTTTTAACCCCAAGTTTGTATAGACCTAATCACCGTTCGATAGTTTATACGATCATCGGCACTGAAATGTGGGCGTTCAGGAAACTTGAGCCCGTCCCAAACTTTATGACCCCATCCCCCTTTTTTTTCCCGCCCAGCTGGATCATCGCCGCGCTGAACTAGATGGCTGGGACTCACAAGCAAAACTGCAGGAAATGCGGAAACTGCTGCTCGTGAGTCCCAGCCATCTAGTTTGGCCCGACTCCGCGCCTAGCGGCGCGGAGATACTCTCGGCGGTGGCGGTATAGTCGACAGAAGTCGCAATTTACATGTGACTAAGGTCCTGTCAATGTGTGTTTTTGGTCGACATAATATGTGGCCGTTATTCGGAGGATAGCCATGATATTTATTCTTTAACATAACATAACCCTTGACCCATTAGGGTCGTGGGTGTGTATTGATGGAAGCACTAGCACAGAAAACAAGCTAACTTTCTCAGTCTTCCGCTTGATGAACAAGTGTATGAATCCAATCCAACACTTTTGGTCTCTCTCGTCAACGTTCATTTAATGGTTTCTTCATGTTAATTACGGAGCAGATGTTCCAAATAGCACATCTGAAATTCCTCTTTTTCTTCTCGTTCACTGGCTGTAAACTCCAACGAAAAGCTTTGTATGTTCGTCCAACTCCGGACTTAAGTCTTGTTCCAGAACCTGAGTGCTACATGCACATCCGCTTCACAGATCTGGTTTATTTTATGCAGGCTTGTGGTTCCTTGCCTCTCAGGCAGATGTACTCCGACTTCGAATGATGTCCCCAATTAGTCGACTCCTACGACATGCTTGATGGGGAGGCAGTGAGCCTTTTCCTGTTTTCCCTCACAATGGAGACCCGTAACCCACACGGGAAACATCTGAAAGTAAACGCTTCACACGTCTGTGTCAACTTCTAAAGGGCTGAACACCCGAATACACAGCAAAGTTACACATTGTTTTGTAAACAAAGCCAGAGGATCAGAGACAACGTCTGAACGGAAAGCCCACGCAGAGAGGAGTGTCATTGGTTTAGGCATTCAGCACGTGATTCTTCATTCACAAGTTGGCCAGCTTAACCCAGTCAGGCTAGGCCTAAATCCGACGAGTCTAATTCACAAACGGGTGAAGCAGATTTCTACCGCAGGCGCATTGCAAAACGGGGCGCACCTCTGGCGGGCCAAAAACGTTTTGTGAACGGGAACAACGGTAGCAAGCTGGCTGTGGCTGTATCATTCATTCAGCATTCCTTTGACAGTCGGGTTAATGGTGTAGGGGACAAACTGGGTGTGCCTCATCAAATCATTTAGGAATGTTCTCTGAATTGTGAGGTAGTTATATTCATGTGTTGGATGTTTTAAGAGAAGTAGAAGAGTGAACTTGATACAAACTTCAACAGCACATTTGACAGTAGGTAATTGGTAAATCTCGCCGACAGTGAGTTTGCGTTCACGTGGTTTCATCAGTTCCCATTCATACAAGTGGGAAAGTTTTCGCCTGGCTTACGAAATATTTTCTTCGCTCAGACAAGTCGAAACAAGTTGTGTAGCGTGTACAGGAACAGCACGATAATGCCTAAATAATTGTAAAATAGATTAAGAGTAAATATTAATTCAGTAATATCGTTTGATGATTTAGGATTTTAGTTAGTGCAATAATTAAAGAACAACCGACGTTTAACGTTCAGTTTCCACGTGATTACTTAAAGTATTTTAGTTACTTACTGCTCGTGTTGTGTCGTGTTTAATTTTATTCGCTAAATATACTATGTTTTCATAACGTATAGAGTAAAAAAAAAATACTAGATATATGTTTGTGTGTTCGTTATTTACACATGTAAACTAGAATTAAATAACTTCTTGATGATTGTGTATTGTTATTTTGTAGGCAAGGACTATAAATACCACTGCTGCAATTTATGTTTTATTTTTACATCTCGGACAGCTTTTATTATGTGTGTTATATTGTAGGCTTGGACTAATAATCACCACTGCTGTAATTTGTGTTTTGTTTTCACAGCTGAAACACATGAATTATTTCATTTGTGTGTTTTATTTACGAGCAATGTGTAACATAAATAGTGTCTAATTTTCGTTTTATTTTCGGCATTCTATGATCTTTATAATGGTCTCAGTGTATCTACAGCAATACTTTTGTACTGTTCGAAATCATAATGGATAAAAAGTGAAGAACCCTTTTCCACGCCTATCATGCGTTTTGGGTATATAACTAACTACTACTCTACATATTACCCACTGAAGACTGGGACGACCAGGGAGCCAAGATCTTGATTGATAGGAGTGCAGACTGCAGCTGCTGAGTTTAAAGGTCTCAATGGCGAAGTGGGCAGATTTTTTGTTTGCCTCACGATTTTATCAGCAAGCGTAGATTTTCAGTTCTGGTGGTACCAGTAACTGTCTGGTTGTACATGCATCTTGCTTTTTCCTTGGGTGTTGAGCGTCGGCCAGATCCCCTGGTAACTCCCCGCAGCGTCATACTCCTCAGGTAGCTAGGCAATTGTACCCCACCAGGACATCACTTAAGCGATAAACACGTGGTGACACAAAGTGCCACCATGCGGATGAGGATCACCGTGGAGCGGTCCCCGAAACCCCGTTCAGCCACCAGGCCACATTTCATGCCCGGCAAAAGCCAGGACAGGGCTTCAACTAAAAATTTCATCCCATATGGGAACGACAGTATTTATGCTTCTATTGTCTTCAGACCGTAATCATTATCATACCTCCAGTCCATTTTAGGACGAAATTTTTCGTTTTCTGAAGCCCTACTATGGCTTTTGCCAGGGGCCGCAATATAGCCTGGTCAAAAATATGGCCTTCAGGCTGAACGCGGTTTCTGGGACCTCTCCACGGTGATCCTCACCCACATGGTGGCACATTGTGTTATCGGGTGTTTATCGCTTGTGTGATGTCCTGGTGGGGTAGAAAGTCAGACCGTAATGATCTATTTGTGCTTCCACACTCTTCTTGACTCGCTGTGCTACTATGAACTTTTTACGATTATTTTAAAGTTTATTGTAAGTTGTGTTTAAAAATATATTATATTTTACTTTTTTCATTTCAATCCAGGAGCATAAATAGCGGAATATTTTTATGATTTTACTGTTAGCCATAGGCATAGCAGTTTTAAAACAATACGTTTTGTGAGTAAACATTGTTGAGCATCCCAGGATATTTCAATGAAAGACAAGAAGTGTTCAGATTTCGTGTTCATGCCTATCAAAGACGGAGCCACCCCTCGTGCCAGGGGGGAAGGCAGCTCCAAGGACTCCTCATCGTCTGCTGTGTCAGAATCCGATAGCCAGGGACCCGCCACCGAAGTACGATCAAAGATTGTGATTGTGGGCTCCTGCGCCTGTGGCAAGACAGCCTTGATACACCGATATATAAAGTCGACTTTTCTGGAGGTAAGTTGTGTTTTAATTTAGAATATGGCTCACACAAACATGCATACACACACACAATTGGTGACCACATCCCTCCGTTTTTTTTAAAAAAACACTGTGGGTTCATGGATCCAGTAATTTTTTATCGGTTAGAAAAGGGAAAAGGGGGAGGGGGAGGAAATATAGGCCCATCATCCCTTAACGCTGAAAGTTTAATAGATTTTTTTCTGTTAATTCCCAGTAAAGCCAAATAGTGTTAGGGTGTGAAATGAACACCGAGTAGCCTTACCGCCCCCCTCCCACCACAGTATTGGACTTTCCCACGGGGAACTTCGCACGAAATCTTGAGTCCTCGAAATGGGGTGAACCAAAAGGAAAATACCATTGAATAAATTAAGGGTTTGCTAAAATCGGATGTGCTGGGCTAAAAGGCACAAATATCGCAGCTCAGCTACACAATTTAAAAGGAAAAAAAACACCTGCCAGCTAGCCTTTGAAGGGTGAACGCAGAAGTGGACATAACGAGTCCTTCTGTTTTAAAGAATTAACTCGTTTTGTTTCCAGTCTAGTTTCACATGAATCTGTCAGCCCCTTGACCCAGTCAAACTCTCCTGTTTCAGTCAGATTTGTGTACCTAAACCTAGTTTGATTTGATAATTCAACTCATCAAGTGCCTTGCCGACTGGCGTGGACGATCATGCCTCTCCACAATCTGCGATCATGCCTCTGCGTGTAGAAAATTGTTAGTATCCTCGTTATTCAAATTCGCCACGGGAAAACATTACTTTAATTACCGAAAGCGACTATTATTACTAATCTAAGAATGGGGACGACAGTACACAAGGAAACATTGCTTCAATTACCGAAAGCGACTATTATTACTAATCTAATAATGGGGACGACAGTACACAGGGAAATATTACTTTAATTACCGAAAGCGACTATTATTACTAATCTAAGAATGGAGACGACAGTACACAGGGAAACATTACTTTAATTACCGAAAGCGACTATTATTACTAATCTAAGAATGGAGACGACTTTACACAGGGAAACATTACTTTAATTACCGAAAGCGGCTTTTATTACTAATCTAAGAATGGAGACGACAGTACACTGAACCACACAAACGTTTCTGTACCGGCCCCTTAATCATTCTCTGATACTCCACCATTCATGAGAACGAATTAAGATTTCTCTTATCCGATACGCTGCAAGTATTGAAGGGCGGTGTGTTATCAAGCACTTGATGTCTTGGGTGTCTGGTGTTATCAATGGGCGGCCTGGCCTGGTGTTATCAGCCCACTAGGCACCGGTTGTGTTGTTTGAGACCAGCGTGTCGTGCAGTATTAGCACCAGGTCTCGTGACTTGGTCTTATGTATTATTCTGAGCCAGTCTTCTTCTCCAAGGGAGATACATGGTCCCACGTTTAGTTCTTTTAGCCGCTCCACCTTCGATATATAATGCTTTTGAATAGGTTCTCAGATGTTATGAACTGGGTTATCTTCTCGGCACTCCGGACATGCCCATATGTGGTCAGATTCCCCCTTTAACACACACACGCACACACACACACACACACATATATATATATATATATATTTATATATATATATATATATATATATATATATATATATATATATATATATATATATATATAATATATATATATTTATGTATATATATATATATTATGTATATATATATATATATATATATGTATATATATATATATATATATATATATATATATTATGTATATATATATATATTATGTATATATATATATATTATTATGTATATATATATATATATTATTATATATATATATGCATTCTTAGCAGTGATAGGGACACTGATCATAAAAACCTTTCATCGTTCTATCTCCCTAAAGGGCAGTAACGTTGCCAATCTCACCGTGATCCATAGTGCGACCATCTGCAACGATTGCAGATATCTGTTCAGTTTGGCCTCCCACGGACTCTGCCTCTCTCGGATGTGAGGTGTATAGTATTTCATAACTTGACATTCTCTCCTTGTTAACATGTTTCCAGCATATGACTGTAGTATGGTTTAACTTCGGTTACACCAGTATGGTTTAACTTCGGTTACACCAGTATGGTTTAACTTCGGTTACACCAGTATGGTTTAACTTCGGTTACACCAGTATGGTTTAACTTCGGTTACACCAGTATGGTTTAACTTCGGTTACACCAGTATGATTTAACTTCTCAGTGACAGCTTATGTGAAAGGGCATATTGCATATGCCCCGTTTGCCTGTCACCTGCGATTTTTTTTCAGCCTTTGTCTCAAATTCTGCCTGTCATTCCTTATTTGAATGTCCCCTTCATGCCATGACACGACACTTTACATTTCTCATATAGGTTCCCGTTCATGCCATGATACGACACTTGACATTTCTCATATAGGTGGCCCTTTATGCCATGACACGACACTTTACATTTCTCATATAGGTTCCCGTTCATGCCATGATATGACACTTTACATTTCTCATATAGGTGGCCCTTTATGCCATGACACGACACTTTATACATTTCTCATATAGGCTCCCTTTCATGCCATGACACGACACTTTACATTTTTCATATAGGCTCCCTTTCATGCCATGACACGACACTTTACATTTCTCATATAGGTGGCCCTTTATGCCATGATACGACACTTGACATTTCTCATATAGGTGGCCCTTTATGCCATGACACGACACTTGACATTTCTCATATAGGCTCCCTTTCATGCCATGACACGACACTTTACATTTCTCATATAGGTTCCCGTTCATGCCATGATACGACACTTGACATTTCTCATATAGGTGGCCCTTTATGCCATGACACGACACTTTACATTTCTCATATAGGCTCCCTTTCATGCCATGATACGACACTTGACATTTCTCATATAGGTGGCCCTTTATGCCATGACACGACACTTGACATTTCTCATATAGACTCCCTTTCATGCCATGACACGACGCTGTCTACATTTCTTGTATAGGTGTCTCTTTATGTCATATTTGGAGGGGAAAAGGGGGGGGGGGATGCCTTCTCCTGTACTGTCTCTGCTGAAAATAATGCTTAAAGTTGCTAAATGTTAACAGTATTTAGCATTTGTGGCCTTTATGGCTAGGTTTTAAATGGCCATTGGCACTGGGGAAGATTGCCGTCCTGGCGGAATGTAATTCACCTAATGGGGGCAGACAACCACGGTCCATGTCGCGTGCTATGCAATCTAATTTGGCTCGGCACGCGGAAATTCAGTTTTATAGCTTGATACTGCATTTTTTGGCAGAAATTATTTTGGCTTAAACTCTCTTTGTTGTCTAGATGTATTTACTGTAGCCCACTCGTCTAACTTAGTTGTTAGAGCTTCTGTCTCAGACATATTATTTTACTACGTTCAGACCGAAACATTACATGGCTGTGAAAATTTGTGCGACATAAAACGTTTAGTTCCACCGGATACTGTATATCCGATTATTGCTTTACTGGCAACTGTTAATTATGTTCTAGATTCTTGACCAATGGTTTTCAACCCCTTTTTTTTTTTAAATTGCCGCCTGCCACCCCACCACCACCCCATTTAAAAAATGTGATTGAAACGAGGGGGAGGGGGAAATCTGAAGCATTGGTAATTATCAATGCAGTCAAATTCAAAATGTGTCCCAAACCACCTCCTATCCCCCGAAACTTCCATGCAAACACCCAAACCCCGCCCAGGATTAAAAGAAACAACACTTTGTTCTAGACGAGTGTTACTTTGACCACAATTCTTACAGCTAGCTGAGAAGACGAAGGTCATGTTAATCCACTGTTCAGACAAATTATTACTTTAACCCACTCTTCTGCCGAAGTTAATGAAGATTCTTCTGACGCAGACAAGTTAGCACTCTACCGTCTTCTGACCCAGACAACTCTGGATTTTAAAGAAATGTAGGTAACAGTTTTCAGATCTCCAGAAGTTGCTTGAATCTAGGTCATGGGAAATGAGTGCTCAGTTGGAGTAGGTTGTGATTCTGCTCCAGTGCAACGTTGGTTCTTCTTGCAGTAAACAGGATCACGAAGATTGCGACGCATCTCTCTCTCTCTCTCTCTCTCTCTCTCTCTCTCTCTCTCTCTCTCTCTCTCTCTCTCGTAGCATTGCAACGATGTTGTGTTATCAGGACCACAGTAGTGGTGCATCTCTGCAGCAGGATCAGGAAGGCGTACATCTCTGTGCAGCAGGATCAGGAAGGCGTACATCTCTGTGCAGCAGGATCATGAGGGCGTACATCTGTGTGCAGCAGGATCGCGATGATGGTGCAGTACGACATATAATGTTTTCCCCCCTGGTCACTGTGTAGCCGGTTATTGCTTTACTGGCAACAGTTGTGGCATCAGCAGTGGTTTCCAGCCTTTTGTCCTTCAAGTGCCCCCCACCCCTCCAGTGTCAAGTTTTTCCCCACGGGATCACAGCAGAAGAAGTGTCTCGGCAGCAGGGAAGTAGCTACAATGTATCTCTCTGAGGCAGGATAACAGTAATAGTGTTTCTTTCAATGGTTGGATGACATTGATGGAGCATCTCTCTTAAGCAGGATAACAGTAATAGTGTTTCTTTCAATGGTTGGATGACATTGATGGAGCATCTCTCTGAGGCAGGATAACAGTAATAGTGTTTCTTTCAGTGGTTGGATGACATTGATGGAGCATCTCTCTGAGGCAGGATAACAGTAATAGTGTTTCTTTCAATGGTTGGATGAAATTGATGGAGCATCTCTCTTAAGCAGGATTGCAGAAGCAGAGCCATTTTAGCAACATTATGGTTCCTTGTGCAAACCATTTTGTAAGGGGGGGGGGGGGGGTGAATAGGGCTTTTGTTAAATGAAAAGCGACTACAACTAAGCCTAACCTTAAACCCCTATACTTTGGGCCATTCTATGAATTTCCCTAACAAATCTCGAAGCTTGCAGGATGTGGTCGTATAAAAATAATGTACCCGCTTATTATGTGCATACAA